AGGTACTATGTACTGACTTGTGGACAAAATAAAAAGCCAGTTAATTACATGATGGTATTAAAGTTGCAGGTCTAAACTAAAAATAGCACAGATTTCACATATGAAACAACAGAACAGGAATGAGAAACACTGTCCACCAGAACACTGTCATCTTGATAAAATGTGCTTGTGTGACCTGAATCTAAAATATAATGGGCTGCTTGATGGTTTAGAAAAAGGGCAAATGAGAAGGTTGATTTTTTAATAAAAGACACTACCGGTGGACATAATTCATTCTTCATGAATTCCCCCTTAATGTCTACGTCTATATGAGTGTGTGTAAGTGATTGTGAGTGTCCTACCTGACCCAGGTTATCGAAGTTGTACTTCCTACGGACCCATTTGTATTTAGCCTGCAGGCACTCGGATTTATTGGTGATATTTCTAGTGTCAAAGCCTTCACAATGATAAAACTTCCCCTTAAAGAGCTGAGTAAAAGAAAAATACCTTACATTTAGACAACATTAATACAAACAAACGACAAATTACAAAGCAAGCAATAGCTCTGATCTGTGATTTTATTTCATAAATAAAAATGAACTGAATTTCTTTTAGAAATGTAGACACTAGCTATATGTGTGTACCTGAACTCCTAGAATGCCAAAGACAATGAAGAAAGCGCAACAGATCAACACAATATTTCCAATAGGTCTGAGAGATGTGATCAATGTTTCAACAACCAGCTTCAGTCCAGGAGCTCTGCTTATGACCCTGATGACACAAACACACAAAGAAATGCATATTTGGTGTTGCAACAATATCTGAACTCAATGCAAAACCACTGAACTAGAAAGCGTGTGTTAATAAAAGGGCTCAGTGTTGCACAACAAGCTGACGAGACGAGATGTTCTCTAGTGTTAGCCTTGAAATTAATAGGTAAGTCTGCTCAGCAGAATATCTCTCTGTCTGAGAGTTGCCGGTTTTGTTCAGATGTGTCTAAAGGAACAGTTTCCTGACAGTAGCAAGAGATGAAATGTGGTTTCAGCACCATGGACAGCAGTATTATTAAAATGTAGGGATACAGTTTATTTTTTCTTCTGATCAAAGTCAGGTCTGGTGAGATGCAGCTTTTGGTTTGAAGAGCAAATGAAATTTGAAAGATTTGGCAAAGGGGAAGATTTTCAGCATATTAAATATAATTTAGGTCTATTCCTTACACAAAACTACAGTATGATTTAAGAGCGGTGATGCACCATAATTAATTTTTACTGAAACACCAAAACCAAAGTTAAAGTTTTCATTTAGCTAAAAGTTGAAACGGAAAATAAAGTTTATTTAATAATTAAAACTCAAATAAAAAAACTGAGTTCTATATACTGTATAAGCAATTAAATTACACATAAATTACACCTAAGTCAGTTTTTATATCACTGATATAATTTATAATCCAATTCATTGCTGAAACATGAACATTTAAATGTTATCTGTAATAAAAACTTGTTTTTATGACAGATTTATTAAAACATACATTCAATTATTTTTTCATATTTCATTATAAAATTGACAAAATTTGAAAGCTGAGACTTTGTTTCATTTTAAAAGTAAAACAACCCCACAAAGTTCAGTAGGATTTTTGGATTGTAGACTTGATAAATACAATGTTTAATGAACTTTTGTTCATGCATCACCTGAAAACATAAAATAAAAGCATAGAATACAATCTTGGTTCATCAAACTGAAGACTGATTCAAATTGAGAATCGATATTGTCAGTCCAGCAGTTTCAGCACCGTTTCAGTCAAAAATTTCGGCTCTCCAAAACTGTTTCAGCCAAAATGGAAAATTCACTTTCACCTGAATACTTTTGGTTGCCAAAATTCAGAAAATTGAAATGGAGTTGTACTGTATACACAACATTTATTGAGCATTTTTGGAGTTCACCAGCTCTGGTCCCACTTCACTTTCATTATATTGTAAAAGAGCAGTGTGAACATTTTGCTAAACATCTCCTTTTGTGTTGCTTGGGAAAAAAGTTGAGTGAATTCCAACTTTAAGAATATTACAACAGCCTACACCAGAGGACTTAATGTACTTCTACTCATTCATACACACCTTCAGTGAGAGTCTTACCTCAAGGGTCTTAGTGTTCTGAGCAGTCGCAGTACTCGCAAGATACCCAGGATTCTGTTCCCACCAGAGGAGGCGAGAGAGACCAGGATGTCCACAATAGACACAAATACCAGCAGGCCGTCTAGAACATTCCAGCTGCTCTTCAGGTACGAGCCTGGACCAGCATACAGCCCAAGAGAAACCACCTGCAACACCAACAAAATAGCAATCATAATCAATGTCATCTGCATGTCATATTTATTTTTTTACTAGTATATAAAAAGTTATATAAAAAGTTAAAACAACCAAACTAAAATGTATGCCTTTAATTAATATTGTATTAATTTCCTACCTTCACAGTCATCTCAGCCACAAAGATCACAGTGAAGATGCAGTTAGACACTTTAAGAAACATCCGCTCCTGTCAAACAAATAAATCAATAGTGAAAATGTAATTTAAAGTGGCAACAAATGCACCACATAGGGGCCAGTAAAAGAGCAGCTACTTAAGTCACTCAGTAATTTTTTACAGCATTTATTTCACTTAAAAAAATAAATAATTATTTCACATTTTTTTCAGAATTTTTATGACTGAGATATAATGAATATTACAATTTTAAATTTGTATTCAGGAATTTTTTTTAGGACAGTTTGTTTATGGGTTTATAGGTTACATGCAACTTTAAAATGTTTCAAAAGGGTAGAATCATACAGTTCTGAAATCAGTTTAAAATATCAACCCACATAATAATTTATTATGATAAAAGTATATTAATGATTACATTTAAAAATTCTCTATAAATTTACTAAAATATTGTAAATGTAAAGTTCTGCCAAGTGATACAGTTCATAAGTCTGATAAATTTACAATATTTATATAGATTTGGCCATTAATATAGAATTTAACTGTTGTGTGATCATAGGTATGTATTTATCGGCTATTTTACAGTGGCTTTGAATGCATCAGATTTCAGTAATTTCAATAATACAGTGACATGTACATTACTGTTCAAATGTTCGAGTAATTTTAAAAGAATGTTTTTTAAATTAAATTGTGAGTCAATTTTTAAAGAAATGAATACTTTTATTCAGTATGGATGCATTAGATCAAAAGTAATCGTAAAGACAATTATAATGCTACAAAAGAGTTATATTTCAAATGAATGCTGTTCTTTTGAACTTTCTATTTATCAAAGAATCCTGAAAATAAATTAAGCAGCACAACTCCTTTCAGCAATGATAATAATAAGAAATGTTTCTTAAGCATCAAATCAGCATATTAGAATGATTTCTGAAGGATCATGTGACATTGAAGACCGGAATAATGATGCTGAAAATTCAGTTTTAACATCACAGGAATAAATAGCATTTTAAAATATATTAAAATAGAAAACATGTATTTTAAATTGTACTAATATTTCACAATATTGCTGTATTTTTGGTTAAATAAATGCAGCCTTGGTGAGCAGAAGAGACTTCAAAAATATAAAAAAATCTTCCCCACCCCAAACTTTTGAACTGTTGCATGCATATATAATAGAGCTTGATGATAGCACTAGAATGAGTGTTGTGATTGTGTTCACCGTGCTGTCAGGTTGGATGTCAGGTCTCTCTAGAGCAATTGCGATGCAGTTAAGGAAGATGAAAAACAGCACAATATGATCAAATATCTTATGAGTGATGACCTTTTGACAGCGCATACGGAACCTGCAGAGAACGAGAGAGGAAGAGCAGTGTGAATAGCATAGAAATGTGCAAGCACAGCATTCATTTTATATGTGTGTTTGGTTGGTCTGCTGTGTTGGCACTCACTTATTTTGGGGCGAAAATAAGTAAAGTGACCAATCCTCATGGTCTCTACACCACTGGGGTTTATAAGGCTCCAACAGTCTCTTCACAATCAGACACCAGCTCTAAATGAAACATAAACATAATAAAAACATGCATAAGGAAAACAAAGAATAGAAATGCATATTTTCTAAGAAAATATATTAGCACATATGTAATATTTCTATAATATCTGCAATATTTAACAATGCCAAGAATATCTAATCTACGTGACTGATATACTGTAATGGTATAATGAATAATAAAAAATGATTAAAGACAAGGCCCCACCTCCTCAAATTCATCATCATCTGCGCACTGAGTGGATGGTGGATCGGGACGTGTTATGTTGGGAGAGGATGGATAACCTCCATCTATTCTGCCGTTACACTCCAAATATGGGCGTGGAACTTGGAGGAGCTCTGGAAAATCAAACGACCCCAGACACGAAACTCCGCCCAGACTGCCAGTCCTGCTGGATTTCCCATCTTCTGATTGGCTGTCATCCATGCTGTCCTGTCCCACTCCTAAAAGTAACGATTCGCACTCCCCTGACTGAGCACGTCTCATTAGACTGGGGGCGTGGCCAAGGCTGTTCCAACTGGAGCGGCGACTTCCCCAAAGGCTGGACTACAACAGACACACAAACTGTAGCTGATTATCACAGGATGCAACAACTGGTGGAGTATGGCAGAAAAAAATAAAAAAATAAAAATAAAAAAGAAATAAGTTGACACATATACAATAATGAGAGGGACAATATGGAGAATTTATAACCACTTAGATATGACAATTTAGATGTGTCGATTAGTTAATCTAATTAATCGCAAATTAAATTTGACTGTGACATAGATAATTTAAAGCCATTATTGTGTTAAATGAGATCAAGTATCAAGTACAGACATTACAAATTGTAGCTTTAGAAAGAAATATTTAATCTAATTAAACATAAAATTTATTACACATAAACATTTAGGCTACAAAAAAGTTTAAGATAAATTATGGAAAATAAAGGAAGATAATTTATCTCAGTATTTTTTGTTCATACAATGAAAGTCAAAACAAAACTCTTCAAAAAGTCTTCAAACAGTCTTTGTCTTTGTTACCATTACCAACAGTCTTCAAAATACCTTCTTTTATGTTCCACAAAAGAAAGTTTGAAACGACATGAGGGTGAGTAAATGATGAGAGAAATTTAATCTTTTGGGTGAACTATCCTTTTAATGTTTTTATTTTTATAAATTTTATTTTATTTTATTTATTTTTTTTAAATGATAATCTAAATAAGAAACTACATCTGCCAGCAGGTGGCAGTCTTTATGAGTCATTTATTCATTCGATTCGTTCAAACGGCTGATTCATTCAGGAATGAAGTAAATGGCTCTCTTTATGAATGAGCCTTTGAATCATTGGTTCACACGATTCGTTCAAAACGTGTATTCATTCATAAACTAAACACCTCCGTGTTGCTCAGAGATGCACAACAATTCTGCTGTGGCTTTAAGAAATATGTTCTCTGCAAAATTGAGCAAAAACAGATAATATTGTGTTTGAAATATAATACAATATCAGCTTCTTATTTACTGAACTGTTGTAGGCTATTAAAACACTTTTAAACTCGTGGTATTCAGGACAAACAGCACAGTGTGTGATATTGATCTCCCTGCTCGTGTGATATTGCTTATCGTATGATATAAATATGAGACTCATACAGGGCCATTTTTTGTACCAATATCTTGAATTTTACGGCATAACTGCATTTATGGAGTTGTTGCCCTGCATCATATTTGTCAACAGTCAACTGTATGAAATGTAAGATGATGTACAGATCTGGGGGCGGGGCCAGTGCGTTAAACTGACAGCCCTAATCTATACATTAGTGCTGTCTAAATTAACACAGGCGCATTAACACAGGCGATTAATTTTTCCAGTTTAATGGTGTTAAAAATATATAAAATATAACAGCAGATGAAGTTATAGATATAGATTCCAATCAAACAAACAAACCAAAAAAAATGCAATAAAAACAATAAGATGCCATAATTAAACCACTTTAACGAAGAAGAAAAAAATCTTCTGGTGAAAGTTTGCGTTTAGTGTGAAAAGCCTTAAAAGGGATCATTCTAATTTGAATATAGAACAAAACATCAATTCAAATGTTATGAGACTAACACTATTTGTGTAGGTTTATATGTAACATTCACTCCTCACCAGGGATCTCTGGTCATGCGGCTCAGTGGAGGTGTTGCTGTTGCGCCGTGATTGGCTGTAGATGTGTGACACCTCAGTTCTGGGTGTGGCGTTGAGCTGCATATGTGTGTTGTGAGGTGGCATGGATGCCCGAGGTTCCAGGTGTCCGTTTGAGATGGGGAATAATGTCTGCATTTTCATCTCTGATCCTAATATCAACAAGAGATTAGCATAAAATAATAAAACACATATAAACATATAAACAGCACGCACACACACACACACACACACACACACACACCTGAGTTCAGCAGTTCTCTCAGTTTGTCCTCATCCCCATAGTCAGACGACATGTCATCATCAGTGTCTGATCTGCTAGCATCACCCTGAAAGAGAAACAGAAATGACATTTAAAGGCTAAAATTTTGAATTCATAATAATGAATCATCATATTTTCACATCAACCCAAATCCACACAACGCCAGCATAAATAAATGCAGAACAAACACAATTACATTTGCTCTTTCAAGGGTATGCAACTCTCTACCTTCTAATCTCATGCTTAGTTAACTTAGTTGTCCTCGTCCTATTTCCTGCGAGTCATTGAACTTCCTTTGCCTATGCATTTAAAATCAACAGGAAACAGCATTCTGACCCATTCAAAAAGGATATTTCACTAGAATTAAATTAGAAATTGATTTTATTGTGCTTTAATACCAAAATGAATCAGGCTGTGTAGTTCCTGGATGGATTACGCCACACAAGCAATGGCCACTGAGATTCAATCATTTATACTCAAAAATCTCCGCTTGTAAATATGTCAAAAATAAAGAGTGACCGAAAAAAACAAAAAAGGGAGAAAAGCAGGAATGAATAAGAATCATGTATTATTTATTATTTATACTTTTATTTTTTCTTTCGAAATAGTGTGATTCATGTAAGTGACTAAATATGATTTATAAATTTATTTATATAGTTTTTGTAATTTTATTTATTGATTTATGCATATTTGGTTATATTTATGGCTAGATGGGTTCTGTTTTGCTCAAAACCCAAATAAACCCAAATAAAAAAGGCAATAAAAACAATGAGTCTACAGTGAAACCACTTTTAATGAAGAAAACATTTAATGTGAATGTTTGCTTTTAAAATTCCATGCAATTGCAATGAATATTAATGTATGATGTAAAAAAAGGGATAATTCTAATATTTTATTTGTTTTGAGGTCAATACTGTTTGCATAGGGGGGGAAATCCTGCAAGTAACTTTATCTTTTCATGCATTTAAAATCAACATGAAATAGCATTCAGACCCAGTTTACTTCTATAAGGTGTTTATTTGAGTGAAACAGGATATTTCAGTTGAAATAAATCCAATAGGAATAGATTTTATTGTGAAAGTTAGCTGTTCAGTACCAAAACAAACCAGGTTGTGTACTTCCTAGATGGGTTATGTCACACAAGCAACAGCCATTGAGATTTGCTGATTTATACTCCAAAATCTCCTATTGTAAATACGTGAAAAAATAAAGAGTAATGGAATAAGGAGCAAAAAAGCAGGAATGAATGAGAATGTGCAATATCCAGCAGTAACAACCGGAAAAGTGTGCGTAAATGTGTATTTGAGTATTGTGGGAGTAGGTAAAGTGTCCACTGTGTATGTGTGTGGTATTTGTACCTTGAGGACAAAAGAGAGAGAGATAAAAGACAGAGAGGAAAAAAAAGGAAGAACAGAAGGTTTGAGTGAAAGCGTTTTCCTATGAAACACATCATCACACCAGCTGCAGCTCGGCGTCTGTGCTTATACACTGCAGATGAGTCTCATCTACATGAAAATTACACACACAAACCAAACATACACCAATCCACACAATCAATCTCTTTGATGTGACAACAATAACGAAAGGAAACAAGAGCGTGTTTTTCTTCATTCCCATGTGCGCTCAAAGGAAACCCCTTTTTTTTCATGGTGTGCATAATGGTTACTGTGCTGTAATTGAGTTACAGTGTAATAATTCTAGTCCTCCGATAGCATCTTACTCTTAACATGAAAAATTCCCTCTTGGAAACTCAATTAAATGCAATATGGCCATATCTAATTCAGTCGTGCAGAGGATTCGAGCAGATGTTGCAAACTAGAGGAAGTAGTTTCAGCAAGTTACAGTAGTAGACCCCCCAAAATTTAGAAATTTAAAGGAATAGTTCACCCAAAAATGAAAATTTGCTTAAAATGTGTTCACCTTCAGGCCATTCAATTGTTTCTTCATCAGAACAGATTTGGAGAAATTTTGCATCACTTGCTCATTATTGGATCCTCTGCCATGAATGGGTGCCATCAGAATGAGAGTCCAAACATCTGATAAAAACATCACAATAATCCACAAATAATCTACACCACTCCAGTCCATTTCCTTCAGTGAAAGTCCATCCCCTGTTGTCTCTCGCATCAAAATCCAAAGAGATATTTGTTTACAACTTTTCTGGACTGTTTTCACTTGTAAATGTACTTGATCGGTGCACATTTCTCTCCTGATTCATACAAGATGACTTTTTCACTGGACAAAGCAACATCTCAAACAAACTCATATTTTAGATGGAAGCAATGGTTTGAAGTTAAAAATGCCTTGATGGATTTGTTTATTATAAGCAGCTTTTCACTTCACAAGACGTTAACTGATGGACTGGAGTGGTATGGATTACTTGTGAATTATTGTGATGTTTTTATCAGCTGTTTGGACTCTCATTCTGACGGCACCCATTCACTGCAGAGGATCCATTGGTGAGCAGGTGATGTAATGCTACATTTCTACAAATCTGTTCAGATTAAGAAACAAACTCCTCTACATCTTGGATGGCCTGAGGGAGAGTAAACTTTCAGCAAATTTCCATTTTTAGGGTGAACTATTACTTTAAGCCAAAATGTACAGTCTCACTGCATTAGATACAACATATCAAAGGAACTGGTATTTATTTTAAAGAAAGATATAACAAGCACAATTTTCAAGCAAAACATTTCAAGAAAAAGCATATACTGTACTCATTGTTCATTTGAAATCACACACAGAAACACTGCACACACACACACACACACTCCCACCCACACCGACAGAAATAGAGATTAGGGAAATTAAAGGCTCCCGGTACCGAAGAAACCCTGACTCCGATGGCTTCCCTCAGGGCCTGGAGTTAATACAGCACCATATCAGTATTCGCACAAGTGTCACTCCCGGTGACCTCATCACACTACCCAATACTGCAGGGAGAGGTCTGATGACCTCATCATGTCTGCAATAATATAGGGCAGGTTTCGATGACCTCAGCAATTTCAACTCTGACACAACTTGTAGAAGTTTAAATAATCCTAGTCTTAAAAGTCCAACTGACACACACACAAACACATACATTCATATACAGCAAACCTGAGCCGCTGCCTAATAGACAGAGATGACCGCAAGAGGATTTGAGCATTTAGCCGTATTATATAATAATGTTTAGAAGGCAGAACAAAAATATAGGTTTGTTTAAATACTTAAACAGTGTAAAACCAAATTATTTAAATAATTGAAATGGCTTCAGAAATGGCTGTTTTGCTCTGACACCCAAGGATTTGTTACTTCATTTAGGGGAGGCTAAATACCCACAATCCCTTGCCTCAGCATTTTTGCAAAATGCTGCTGTTCCTACATTGAGGAGTGAGTATTTAATCAAAACTTGCCTCTGAAGACTAAAAATGCTATTTCTGGACTATGAATACAACTCTCTGTAAGATTTTAATGAGTTCAACCGTCAGTTTAGTGACCTACAGACCCTTGGTGGTCAGCAAAATGTGCGGATTTCAGGAACAGCAGCTTCAAAAACTAGTTGTGTAGTGTTTTATCTTTCATTAAAGAGGACCTTTGTTACTTAAGCACAAAAAAGTAGTTCAATCATGACAACTCTCTGAACATTTTAGCATGGTGATGGATATGACAATGTTATGGTCTTGTAATGTAATGTATTTGGTCTTTAACCAATCAGCTTGTGCCAAGTCGTTTAACTCTCTGAATATCATCAGTTACGTTAACACCCCATCAGCCTGCGCCATCTAGAGTTTCATGACTGAACTATATTTTACCCTGAAGTATTTCTACCTGTTATCAGAATGTAACATCCATATATTGCTTATTAAATAGTTTTTTAGGGACAATCTTCTGACCTGGAACACGGTGACGATGGCCCAGAGAAGTGAGTCAAAGTTCTTCCTGTCCGACACAGTGTCTCCATTCTCCAAACGCAGAGTAAACTTACACCCAAACAGATGCATTCCCAATATACTAAAACACAGAAGACAAGAGAAAAAAAGGGATGGACAGACATGAGAAAAGGTTGCAAAACTAACAACATACACTGCATTAAATGTAAGAATATCAGGGTTATTCCTAGGTAACAGTGACATTTGACTCCAACTTACAACTGATATAATAATTATTATAATACAGAACTTTAGTCAGATTATTTGAAAGAGCTGTTTAGTTTTTTTTAATTAAAATTGCAAGTTCCCTTTCATGCCTATTACATTTTAATGTGTTATTAACAAAGAAATAAAATAATTTAGTTTTTATTGAAGCTAAAATATCATACTTTCACTGTCAAATGTATTTATTTTCCTAAAAATACTATGTAAAAGGCTGACATGTGCTAGTTAGGGGGCAAAATTATCCATTATGACAATGTACACTAAAGGTGAATAAATATTATGTATTATGATTACTTGACTTTATTATCATTAAATTAATTAAAATCTATTAAAAAACAATCATTACTTTTTCCCTCAATAAACTCTTGCTTATTAATTGTTAGTAAGGTAGTTGTTAAGTTTAGGTATGGGGTGGATAAAGGGACCTAAAATATGGCCATGCAGAATATGTGCTTTACAGATACTAATATCTAATATCTGCATGCTGATAAGCAACTAGTTAAAAGCAAGAATTGGACCTTAAAATAAAGTGTTACCAAATAATAGCTATGCAAAGGCAACATTTCTCATTTTTGTTTAGTTTAAGTTGAAAGTACTCAAATAACTAAAACTAAATGAATTAAAACTAAAACCCAAAACCAACAAAATTACTAAAACTTGAAATTAAAATGAAAAAAAAAAAGAAAATATAAAAAACTAATTCAAAATCTTAAAAAAATAAAACAGTATATCAATGTATTAAATAACACTGGTATTATGAGTACATTAATCACAAAATCGCTGTGATGGGATTGAAATAATGAAATAATGTTGAGCTTGGAAAATGTGACTTCTTGAGTTCACATTTTAAAATGAAATGAATGACCAATCATATTCCTTCAAAAGTACTGAAAAACCAACAGGGAAATAACAACTAACACTATAGTATAGTAAGGCTCATTTGCTTTCAATCAGTACTTCTTATATGGAACTTTCATACAAACCTAAAGATGAAGATGAAGAGCATCAGCAGCATGCAGAAGGTGGCCACATTGTCCATGGTCTTCATCAGTACCACCAGCTGCCTGCGCAGAGCCGGGAGGAACCGCACCAACTTTAGCACCCTGAGCAAACGAAACGTCCGCAAAACCGAAAACCCTCCGTCCGCTTGTCCAACGATCTCACACACACTGTAAAACCCAACAGACAGAACGTGTGCGGTCAAAATACACAGTATTTACAACAAATGTACAGCAAACAGAACAGCACAGAACCTGATGATAACGATGATCCCGTCAAAGATGTTGTAGAGGTTGCTGATGTAGTCGAACAAACCGCAGGCCGAAAGCTTCAAGAGCATCTCTAACGCAAACAAACTAGTGAAGACAATATTACTGATCTCCAACACGTCTGTCAGCTCATCCGGCTGAAAGAGAGAACGAATATACAATATTAGTCCAGTTTTCTGTGATACATCATAGTAACAACTAGTGCTGTCAAACGATTAATCGCGATTAATTGCATCCAAAATAAAAGTTTTTGTTTACATAATGTATGTGTGTGCACTGTGTATATTTATTATGTCTATATAAATACACACACATACGTGTATATATTTCAGAAAAATATGTTATGTTTATATATTAAAAATATTGATCTTTAATATAAATTATATAAATATATACACATGTAAATACATGTAAATCTTTTAAAAATATATACTGTATGCTTGTGTATTTGTATATACATAATAAATATACACAGTACACACAAATATATTATGTAAACAAAAACGTTTATTTTGGATGCGATTAATCGCGATTAATCATTTGACAGCACTAGTAACACCTAATGTATATTTATGTGAACCTGTATGTAAAAAAAAAATAAAAATAAAAAAAAATAAAAAAATTCAAAAAAAGCACACTTCTTCTTAACAAGTCATGTGATCTGAGGCATTCACATCTGTAACACATACGCTGCTGACACGAATGTATACATTACAAAAGCTAAACTACAGTGTTGTTACTGTCATGACATTATATTTATGCTTCTCCTCTTTCTCTCCATGAGGCTTTATTTCTTGCCGAGGAAGAGCAGGCGAGCGCTGTTATTAACCGCGTCTAGTGTAATGTAAATAATCATTTCCCTGGCAACAGTGTGAATGTCCTCAAACCGGTTAATCTCAGACTCCTCTCAGTCTCACACAGACACACTAATCCTAACCAAGGGGGTTAATTAAATGCAATATGAGCCAAAAACATGCATAGAATCACACCGCAAACACAGCGCTGTGGGATCATGTTGTGTTACAATGAGTGTTTTTGACACTGGGGGATTTATTTGTATGTGCCAGCAAAAAAACAGACACTAGAGGAAAACAGTATTGCTTAAAGTCACAATTTCATTTCAGGAGATTAACTGAGGTATTCATTATGGTGGTTTCTCTTATATGTTAATACGTTTCCTCTTACATATTAGATGTTAAACTTACCAGGAGAAAGTATTCTGGGTTTTTAAAGTTTTAAGTAAGTTTTAAATCAACTTACTTTTGAGGCACACAATCAATTTAAATTTGTAAAAAAAACTATAAATTGAATATAAATTTAATCCATTTGAATTAGGCCAACATGAATGTTTGGTCACAAACAAATTGCACAGATGCAATGGATTCAGATCCAAAATGACACAGACACACTGGAAATTGCAACTGTTATTATTTTTTAATCTAACATCATCCATTCATTTAATTACATAATTTATTTAAGTACTCAACTAAAGCTTAGTCCTCATTTTCAACTGGAACAAATCCCTTTAAACATAATATTTCCCTTTAAAAATTGCTATTCCTATTCCTACTACTAATATATTATTATTATTATTATTATTATTATTATTATATGTTCAAAATGATTTGTTCTGGTGTTGCTGTATTGAAAATAATGCTTAAGCTTTTGTAGAATACTATATTAAATAATAATAATAATTATATTGATTATTATATAATTATAATTATTATTGTATGTTCAAAAGGATTTGTTCTGGTGTTGCTGTATTGAAAATAAGGATTAAGCTTTTGTAGAGTACTATATTAAATAATAATAGTAATAATAATAATTATTATTGTATGTTCAAAAGGATTTGTTCTGGTGTTGCTGTATTGAAAATAAGGATTAAGCTTTTGTAGAGTACTATATTAAATAATAATAGTAATAATAATAATTATTATTATTATTTAATTATAATTATTATTGTATGTTCAGAAGGATTTGTTCTGGTGTTGCTGTATTGAAAATAAGGATTATGTTTTTGTAAAGTACTATATTAAATAATAATAATAATAATAATTATTATTATTATTAAGTAATAAGTATTATTATTATTATAATCAAAAAAGTTTTATTTAATTTTTTAAGCTTTATTTAATTTTGTGTAAAAGTTTTCCTCTTTTAATTATAGTTTATTTAAATACTATTATAATCAAGTTACACGTTTTTATTTTGGCGTATGTAGCGTAGGCAAATCTGAGTAGTTTGTGAAACTGTTGAGACCTATATGTGGGATAACTAGAAAATCACTGGTGTTTATTAGAAACAGCTCAGATGTTAATTAATCTCATGTGTGAGGTGTGTGTAAATGAGTGTATTATTTTCACCTGCTCATGGTACTCCACTCCCATGCTGAGTGTATTGATAAGGATTGCTATCATTATCCCTCTGTTGAAGTACTCGCTGTCCACAATCCGCCTCAAAATGGCTCTGGCATAATGAACACACATACACACACAGTTCTCATTCCCAGACTCCTTTTCATCCAAATCCTGGTTTCTTTTGCTCTGTTCTGAGCTGATGTCTGGCCCCTGTTTCTCTGGGTCCGATTCACTGTTGGAGTCGCAATTAACACCATCGCCTTCCTGGGCACAAATTGGGCAGGAGGACGACTCTGAAGACACCAGTCCCACCCTGCTGTCCACACACACACTCGAGCACGTGCCAGGATACACACCTGCAGTGAAGGACGACAGTATTTAATATCACACACAGGAAGGCTGGGGCTAGATGTCTCAAAAACTGTCCAAGTCCAATTTACGCAAATGCTTTGCTACAATGTTTTCCTATGTGTCTATACAGAAACTGACTGTCAAAAATAAATCTACTCCTACTCTCTAGCTTGCTTCCTAATCTACAGTAGTTGTCTAATAAACCTGGTATTGCGTTTTACGAATATTGTTGGTTGTAACGAATTGCTTTTGTAAATTGCTTTGTATAAAAGCATCTGATGAATGCATTAATGTAAATGTAAAATGTAAATGTTCACTGCAGTAAATAGTGTGACAACTAGCCCCAGCCTCCCTGTTACATAAAATATTTTGTGCTATAACCTGATAATTAGGTAATCCAGTGATGCATTAGTGACCTGATTACAGTTAACAACATTGTGATTTGCTTTGATAATAGTGATCGATACTGTCCTTCTCGCATAATCAGGGCAAAATCTGTCTGCATCTGCCTTTTATGACCCATATGCTGTGCCTGAGCTTCAATGATCTCTTACATGAAATTCACAATATTAGTTCATTTCAAATATATGGTATATTAACTGATGACACCAAACCCAGTCAAAAAGGAATATGTACAGGACTCTGCGAGTAATTTTTTAAATCACAATTTGGCACCAATTCTTTAATTACCCTAATGGGATCAAACTGGACTTCTCTAAGATTTTTTTTAATCACCGTTCTGCCATTTACTCTTTTTGTCACCACTGTTATTGTGTTGGGATAATATGGTTACTAGGGGAGCTATAGGATTTTTTCAAACTGTTGTGAAATTAAATGCTACTGGCTTTCTAAAAGGTGTCCCAACAAACTATCTGTTTTAATAAAAATAAAAAAAGGACTTCCGCTCAAATGTTTGTGGTCAGTAAGATAAAAAAAAAAAAGAAATGAATACTTTCATTAAGCAGAGATGCATTGAATTGATCAAAGGTGACAGATTTTTAAAGTGTTACAAAAAATTTCTATTTCAAATAAATGCTGTTCTTTAAACTTTATATGCATCAAATAAGCTTGTAATGTATCATGCATAATTGCCAACATAAGAATTAAATAACTTTTTTAAAATGTTAAAACAGCTATTTTAAATTGTAATTACATTTAATAGCATAAGAGATTTATTTCAAAAACATAAAAAAAATCTTACAGACTATTTTGAACAGTACTGTACATCAATACAAAATTACAAAATAAGGATTTTGTACAATATTTATTACAAAATAAGGATTTCCTTGCTATTTTTTCCTATTGTTAATCATAAAAAATGTTTTGTGTTATGTTAAAACTCCATATGAAATTTTGCATTAGAATTATTTCGGTTCCAAATTCTGATGTAAATATTTATTTTTTAAATTAATCTTAAATGAATTCCTGTTGGAATTTTTAATGGCTGCTGGCATTCAAAACACGTCACTGTAAAATAAAAAGGCAAAGTTGGTTATCCATACCTGACGAAGGGCAACCTGACCACTAAACTTTTATGATATCCAGAGCTAGGTAGATTACTTGCAAATTATAGTCTGTTACTGAATACAGATTACATGATGAAAACTGTAGTTAGTAACGTAATCTAGGTTAATTTCAGGTAATGTAATCTGAATACTTTTGAGATTAGCCTACTATTAATTACTTTTTAAAAAAAATCAAACATGTTATAAACTTAACAATAAACGTGTTTCAGACAGTGTTTCATAGCTATACATCACCAGTGTTTAGTAACTTGCATAATTATTTGTTATTTATTATTTGTTAATTGCTTGAGAGGTGCTCTTTTCCCCTTAAATTCAGAAGCATGGTTTGCAAATTTATTTACACAACATTTATGAATATAGTCAAAGCTAAATGGTATGACACAATAGGATTTTTAGAAAGGAAAACTGAAAAGGTAAATCTAAAAGAAAAAAAAAAAGAAGAATTCGGGAGAATCAATGAATTATAAATAATGTACTGCCATTGTGTGAATAATAGTAGTCATGTAATCCATAAAAAGTAACTTGTAATCTGATTATGAGCATTTTAAAATGTAATCTACTATAATTAGAAGTACTTTATTTTTGGAATCTGATTATGTAATCCATATTACATGTAATCAGTTACTACCCAGCTCTGATGATATCTATTAAATGCAATTGCACAGAAGTGTCGGTGAGGATGTACCTTACCTACAGGATGCTGAAACGAATCAAAGTTATGACTACATTTAGACCAAAATGTTGAAAAAACCCAAGGCTTCCTCACCAGGTAATTTCAGGCAAAAGTCAAGAGGCACAAAAATAATGACTAGACAGAGTGTGAGTTTGTTCAGACGGTTCCCTCAGTTCAATTTGGAATTATTAGGGCATGTCAAGTGCGCAAAGCCAAGGAAAAAAATTAAGAATTCCATTATCTACGTTATTAAGTTAAAACCCCAGAGACAGAATTTACTCTTAATCCACAAACTCAAAGTCAAGTTTTAAACATGACAGCAGGGACAAAACACTTCACTTTTTGCACAGAGATTGCAATTCTTGTACTTAATGTTTTTTATGTACAGTGGCCCCAAAAAAGTATTTGTACCTTTAAGCCACAATTCATATAGCTCACACTTAATTTTGATAGTCCACTTTAGACATTCTACTAAGTAACTTTGTAACTACATGTCAGTCAGCTAACTGCAGTTAATTTGCAACTACATGTCAACTAACTCTCATTAGAGTATTAGTAGACTCTTAGTTTAGGGTTAGGGTTAGTAGAATAACTTGGCAATACTTGCAAAGTTGACTTGTTGACTATATTCTATATTTTTCTGATGTGTGACCCATATCCAATATCTGCATTCACAATACACACATGGTGAAACAACCCAGGGTAAATGTACTGACATGGTTGCCAGGTCTACAAAACAAAAACCAGCCCAATTGTGTTTTTCCGGGTTTTTCAGGGGTTCACCTCTTTCGAAATAGCAGGGAGGAGAGATCACTTTAACCTGCAGATTAAAAACTAGGGCTGCACGATTATGACAAAAATCATAGTTGTTGATTATTCCCTTGAAATTGTAATTGCGATTATTAATTACGATTATCACAATTTACATTGAATGATGTTTATACCATTGTTTGATGCAACTGCATGCCGTATTTTTATATGAAAATAAACAAGCTGAAAACACTCTAACTGAAAAACTTTTAGTGCTTTTCTATAGTATTAAGCCTCAAATGTCAACTATACATCGGATTTGTTTCTTCTTTAAATTATAAAAAAAGTAAAAATATGAATGTTTATAATGTTATACTAAAACTAAAACTAAAACAATGGAAAAACCCTTAAGATAACATGTTGAAAGAAAAAAAACATATCTTAAGTGTGCAGAATAACATAAGTGGACTTTGAACGATTAATTGCCGCTTTGAACGATTACGTAATTGTGGCATCCATAATTGTAATCGCGATTAGAAATTCGATTAATTGTGCAGCCCTATTAAAAACAAACAACCCGTGGCAATAGTGTAAAAGTAGTCCAATTCCACAGGAAAACCGCAGACTTGGCAGCACTGCTTACTGACCCAGAAAAGCGTCCACCTGATTTGACGTCATTCACCACTGTCGCTTTTTCAGTGATGTACAAATCGCATTGACAGGGGAATATCCGATCTGTCTGCTTACATGGCAGACGCAAATGCACATATCCAAATCATATCAGATTTATTTCCACATATGAATAAGGCCCGAAACCGATCTGAGAATATTGGAATCCATGCGCTTTTTTCCTGCTTACACGTTCGTGGGTCATTTCCGATTTGTGCCACGTAGGACAGTGTTTCTCAACCCTGGTCCTGAGCGCCCCCCAACACTGCACATTTTGTATGTCTCCCTTACCTGACACACCCATTTCAGGTCCTGGAGTTTCCTTTAATGAACTACTGAGTTGAATCAGGTGTGTTTGATTAGGGAGACACACAAAATGTGCAGTGCTGGGGGGCGCCCAGGACCAGGGTTGAGAAACACTGACGTAGGAGGAGAAAATCGGAATTGGGTTCCTTGAACCATGTAATGTAAAAGCAAATAAATATATAAATAAATAAATAAAGTGTTAGCAGATAGGAAGCAGACAGTCTACTAATACTCTACTCACTGTTAGTTGACAAGTAGTTGCAGTTACTTATAGTTAGTAGAATGTTTAAAGTAGACTATCAAAATAAAGTGTTACCTTAAAGGATTAGTTCACTTCCAGAATAAAAATGTCCTGATAATTTACTCACCCCCATGCCATCCAAGATGTTCATGTCTTTCCTTCTTCAGTCGAAAAGAAAATATATATATATATATATATATATATACATATACTTTTTAACCACAAATGCTCGTCTTGCACTAGCTCTGTGATGCGGTTGTTTGACTTCACGCATTACGTAATCACGTTGAAAAAGTAATGCGCGGTTAGTTCTTTGTCTGTGTACTTCGGTTCAAAAAGGTAGGGTAGGGCTTTTTGGGTCTTTGCACGTTCGCTTTGTAAACACTGGGTCAGTACTTCTGCCTACGTTTGGATGACATGGGGGTGAGTAAATTATCAGCAATTTTTTATTCTGGAAGTGAACTAATCCTTTAATATATGAATGCAATTGCATTAGATAAATACAGCTTATCCATGTTCTTACTGTGCTGCAACTTGTAAGTATCATGGTATCCACTACAAACGGAGATCTTCCTGCCGTAGAGTCCATGATGGAAAGCCGGTGCTTTGACTCCACCTGTCGAGTGTGAGCGAGTATGTGATTTTGCGTATAGTTTGGAGGGCAGGATGGTGGGATAGTTCATACCGAGCCTCAAACCCTTCAAATTTTGTAGTGCAAGAGGGAGCGATGGGGTCTTTTTGGAATTCTGAGCATCTCTATCGAGATGGAGTGTTTTCATTTCTATGCCATTGTTGATGTAATGTTGATGCTGATGGGGATGATGATAATGCAGCATACAGTATTGGGTCGGACCCATCTTTGTCCCATTGTCACTCCAATATCCATTAGTCCCGCCCACTGGGAGGGAGCTGCTAGGATTGGCCACACCCCTGCGTCTCTTGTGGCATAATTCGCCATAGAGGCGTGTGGCATGTCGGAAAAGTTTGCGGCAAATGTGGACGAGGTATTTCAGCATTTCTTCGTAGCAGGATCCCGGTTCAGCCAGGCTAGCTAAGGTGGATTCGTTACTACGAAAACGTGCCCGCTGCTCCTGCATCAGCTGGTTCTCACGTTGTTTGGTCTCGGAGAACTGTGTTGCTATGACAACGAGGCACAGGTTGATCATGAAGAAGGAGCCTACCTGTGGACAAAACAAAAAATGAGTATATAACAGAGATATTGAAAACAATAGTCCAAAAACATTGCAGGATTTTGAGGTACCTAGTATTTATTACATTTCATGACCTTGACAGTCTTCTCAACAATAATATTGTGATTTGTATGGCATGTTTATGAAGACTAAACTTAAAGAAAAGCTAGAAAACAATTTTCTCTCAGAACTGGCTAAAATTCACAAATAACTACAAAGAACAGCAAGTAACACATTGCATCAAATGTGACATTTTGAAATAGATTGAAATAATAAAATGTAATTGTTTTATTTACAACTCTGAAAAATATTTTTGTATCACTTCTGAATAATGGTCTAAAAAAGTGTACTTGTCAAAAGTTTGGGGTCAGTATTTTTTTAAATTAATGAATTATTATTATTTTTAAAAATGTAATACTTTTCACAAAAATATTAAGCAGCACAACTGTTATTAACTGTTATTAACAACTGTTATTAAGCAGCACAATTCTTATTATTTATTATTAACATAATAATAAGAATTATTATTTTTTATATGCAAATCAGCATATTAGAATGATTTCTGAGGAATCATGTGACACTGAAGACTGGAGTAATGATGATGAAAATCACAGGAAAAATTACATATTAAAATAGAACAGTTATATTGAAATGTAATAATATTTTACAGTTTTTCTGTTTTACTGTATTTCTGATCAAATAAATGCAACTTTGATGAACATAAAACACTTCTTTCATAAACAACAATACATTTTACTATTCCTAATCTTTTGAACAGTAGTTAAAGCATAGGCTATTTTATGGGAAATATATATATATATATTTTGTATTTTCTAATTAGCAAAAGTAGTTGTAAGGTTTACATATTTTAGTAATTTTTTGTAAAGTATCTAAAAATACTGACTAAAAGTTACAATTTTTTTTCCCAGATTTAAGTACATGTAAAAAATGTTGTACAATCAAGAGCCAAAGAACATTTTCTTAATCACTGTTAGTACATTTCATGCACAAACTGTGCAAATCAACCTGTTTAAACACAATTTTGTCCTGAGTTTTAAAGTCGCTAGAGCACACCAGACTGAAACAGGTTAGCAGAAATTGTTTAGTACTTAATTCAGCTGCATATGCTTTTATAATTGCTTATAGTGTAGTTGTTACTGATCACTAAACTTGGTTGTACTTGATTATAGGTTAAAACAGAAGAATGCGATTTGACTTCAGTAAGACATACAATTATAGGCTAATTGATTTAATACAATGATGACCATTAAATGTGTACATTAAAGGTCTAAGATTGTATAAAAAGTATGATTTTCTTCTTAGAAATGTAGTACTTGCAGTAACTCAGTAGGTTTCTTAAGTACAAGCATTCAGTTTTAATATTGCTCAATTACAAATTCCTTAGAAATGATGACCGAATTTTCATCTCTTTAAGTATGGTTATCAAGTAAAATGACTCGAGTAAATTACACAGCTGATGATAACAAAAGCCATTTCCATGCAACTAATGAAAGCAGAGACTCCAGCAGAGGTTAAAAGAGAGTAAGATGTATCAGTTAATTAATTACTGTGCACTTACAATGATAAGAAAGATGAAATAGATGAAGTTGTAAAAGGAATGGGCATCCATGACATAGTACATGATATCCACCCATCCCTCTAACGTGATGACCTGATGAGAAAACACAAACAGGATTCTACAGGTTACGACATCCACCATGCATGCAAATCCTTAAAATACAGCCCTTCTATCAAGTGCCAAAACACAAAGGACATCTTCAGATATTGTTCATCGCTTCCACAAAACTAGGTCAGGAAACTCTATGGAATGATAAACGTCACGCTGTGGTCAATCGGATTACTCAGAAACCTGACAAATGTCCATGTCCATTCCCAATCACGTTACTAAAGAATATGATAAATATTGTTGCCCTGTAGATTAGATTAGAATGGAACATGATAAAACTTGATTCCTTGGACAGGTAAGTTGATTATTGATGTAAGAGGATTCACTCTCGCTGTAGCCCCTGGCAACCATTCACTTCATTTTCTGACTCTGAAACTAAGTGTCTCTCGGCGCCAAAAGGATATGTGAGGATAAAAAATATCACCGCCTGCCAGACTGAATATATACTCAGCGAAAATTTTAATGAACAACTTGGAGCGGATCTCTAACACACTTTCATCCGAGGAGAAAAAAATAAGAATTCTTGAACTGCCTTCCTAAAAAATTATTGATGACTATGCATGTTTTTTTTTTACATAAACTCAGTCAATACCCTTTCATCTTTTTGCCGACACGTGTACATACCTGAAAGATAGCAATCCAAGCATATCCAATGTTGTCAAAGTTGATAGCCCCATTATGCGGATTGTGTTCGCTTGCATTGCATTTGTTGTAATACAAGTTCCAGTTTACACATCCATGATGAGGGGGATCTTTGAAAACAAGATCGGTGACATTATCAGCCGTGAGCTCACAATCAGCCCCTCCAACTCTGCGCTTCGGGATGTTGAAGCAGTGCAACATTCCGTTGTCCCGAGTGGTGGAGCAAATGAAGGGAACGTCATCGGTTTCGTCCAGTCTGTAGTATTCACTCACAGACTCTGAAACATTATACAGCCTGCAGAGAGACCACAAGGAGTAAGTTACAGAGAAACACACACACACACACACACACACACACACACACACACACTGCATGTGCAGGGTTATTATCATGAACTAAAACAAAAAAAATGTAATAAATAAAAATAAATAAATAAATAAGATTAACTGAAATAAAATATAAAAACCATGGTAATACTTTACAATAAGGGCCCAATAGTTACCATTTGTCAATGCAATAACTAACATAAACTAACAATGATCAATACTGTATATTTGCTACAGTATTTCTTATATTAATCTTTGTTATATTAATAAAAAAAACACAACTGTTCATTGTTAGCTCTGTATATTAAACAATATTAACAGATGCAACTTTTAGTTTTAATAATCTTTTAGTAAGTTTTGAAATTAAGATGATCTAAGATTAATAACTGCTTTAGAAGTATTTTTCATTGTTAATTCATGATAACTATTGTTAACAAATTATTGCGAAATGTTAACAAAAACATAAATGTTTATATTTCCCTTCTCATTTTAATGCAGTGCAAGCTAAATTAAAACAAAAACATGAAAAATAATTAAAATCAAATAATCTTGAACTAAAAACAATTAAAAAAACAAAAAAAATTGGATTTTGACTGGGTGGAGATTTCCATCATACCATTTTCACATGATCTGCCGGAATGAAATTCACATTTATTGTAGTAAAAACTGATTTTTATTATTAATTTTCCTCATTAATTATTCACATTATTTATTAACTAAAGTCATTCCAACATTCATTGTCTCATATAATATTTAGTTTGACATCCTGAGGCTGGCGATCAATGTTTTGTTGGTTTATTTATTTATTTATCTAATATAATTTATTTACTTGCTGTATTTTTTAAAAACAGACAGCACACTGATTTAAAGCAAAAATCTTTTAAAAAAGACCAATTGATGTTTTTGTGTACCTTTTATCAATACACTAAACTCAAAACAGAATGCTAATTTACTTGACCTTTAATATTTGCAAATTGCACTGCATTGCATTACAGCCTAAAGCTGCCATGTTCCTGTCACAGAAATGTAGCCAATTTAAATCCTGTTCAAAACGATTGTATCATGAAACAGTTCTTTCAATACAATTATAGAAAAAAATTGTAAACAGCAATTTATTTGATGTTAAACTAATACAAATTATATACTAATTCGTGCAAATAAGCAACAAATCTATACATAACCGATCAAAATGGTACTCTTTTCCAACACAGCAAACAAAATATCTGTATAAGGCATGGAGACATCAACCACTAATCACAGAATACATGACTTGAAATATAAGAATAAGTGATTAACTGAAGAATTGAAAAATATTTTCAGATCTGCACTCACATCAGTAGCACTACATTTGTATATGAAGTTTCTGTTTAACACTGTAGCAGCATAATAGGCTTAAGACTCCTCTGACTAATGCTAACAGAAGCATCCCTCTGTCACCACCTCAAAGCTACATAATAATGTGCGATAGTGTGGAACTTTTTGTTCTCTGAGCATTTACAAACCATTTGAGCCAGGAGAGCTTCTGCTTTAATCTGTCTCACATCCTGCTTATTAAACTGAGAGAGACAGAAGAGCTTAAAGCTGAGCTATTAGGTAATCACATCATCTGCAAACATGTTTATATTAGGTTTTAAGAGAGGATGTTGAAGAAAATGGTCTGAGAATTGGCACATATGTTACTTACCGTATCTGAAACTTAGAAGCATGCTTTTTTTGTTTGTTGAGAAATTCCAATCATGCAACATGAAATGCAATATGTAAATGACTTAAAAAAGAGACCTATGGGTATTTTTGTGTACAGTACCTTCTATCAATGCACTAAACTCAAAACAGAATGCTAATTCATTTGACATTTAAAATTAGCAAACTGCACTGCAATGCATTAAAATGTAGGTCTACCTATCATAGTCTAAAGTGGTCATGCTCATTTTACAGAGATGCAACCAATTCAAATATAATCTTAAACAATTCAACTATCCCATGAAATAGTCCTTCTGATACAATAATAAAAAAAAAAAAATAGAAATTCATTTGCAGCAATCAAAATGTCTATCAAAATCATCAAGGCATTAACCACTAAATGAGGATGTCACAGAAAATGGCCTGTGAATTGACCCATGTAATATTAATTGTAACAGTTATGGACTTATACATTTTTTTTTTGCCATATAGCTAGTATTTTTTTCCACACAATAAGTCTGAACTACAACTGCATATATTTTAGGTCTTCCACTGCAGATTTCAAGCCAGCACATTCAGAGGGCCTGCATCCAAACCATAACATTTGTCATTTCTAGCGTTGTAGCATTTGAGATAAAACAATTCCCTCTTTTGTCACACAAAAATTGCCCAGAGGTCATCTGTTTTTTCGAGCTCATGCACTGAATGTATTACACAAATATTCTCCAGTTTAGTAAAGACCTGAGAGAAATTAGAAATAATTTACTTTATAAGTTCTGTATTTAATTGCACCAAGGTTCACACTGATATATTTTGGAGGACTGAAAGATGAGGGGATTGAGGACACTAATAGGACTGCTTTTCTCAAATTAATTGGGTTATTAAAATTCCTGGGAATCTTGATGAAAGGAAGGAAGGAAGGAAGAAAGAAAGAAAGAAAGAAAGAAAGAAAGAAAGAAAGAAAGAAAGAAAGAAAGAAAAAAGCCTTTACACCAAAGCATTTATACAAAAGCATTATATAATTCAATCGAATTGCATTGTCTTGAAATGGTAATTAGTCAGGATAGTTGTTTTTCTTTGTTAAAAATTAATTAAAATTAATATACAAAGGAGTGGACTCCTTATGAAAGTGATAATCTTGTGGGCAACAGAACTAGCTGCAGGCTCCAAAAATAATGAGTAGATGTGCAAACGGACAAAATTTGCACATCTCATGGGATTCACTTAGACAGAAAGCTATTTTCACACCTGAGATAGGTGTAATGTGATTGGCAATTTTTGTATTTGTGCTGCAAAAAGCCACGGTAAACATTTATTAACTGGGTCATTCTATAAAACGGGTGCCTTTTCCAGTTTTACAAGGGAATTTAAAAGTAAATATTTATATGATTTTAAACATTTTATCAAGCAAACAATGCGTTTGAGAGTTAATTTATTAGGTTGTGACATTTATAGCCAAATTAATTCATTTCAATATATATACGGTGATATAATTATGCCTTCATAAAGGTAACAAGGTTCACTATTTTAGTTTAATCTGACATTATAAGCCTTGTGTTTAAGGTCATGAAACTACAAAGTGCTTCTTAAGAAAATATATGTTGGTATTTCTAAAAAAATATCCACATTTCAATTTTCAGTAATTTGTTAAACAAAATAATGGCAACAGGGTAGAATTTTTTCGATCTTTGTAAAATGTAATGCTCATATTTCTTTAAAAAAATCCACATTTAAATTTTCAGTAGTTTGTTATACAAAATAATGGTAACAGGGTTGAATTTTCACATTTGTAAAATGTAATGCTCATATTTCAAAAAAAAAAAACTCACCTTTAAATTTGCAGTAGTTTGTTAAAAAATAATGGTAACAGGGTGGAATTTTTCATATTTGTAAAATGTAATGCTCATATTTCTTTAAAAAAATCCACATTTAAATTTTCAGTAGTTTGTTCAACAAAATAACGGTAACAGGGTAGAATTTTTCACATTTGTAAAAATGTAATGCTCACATCTCTCTATATCTATAAAAATAAATGTTTAATTTTTTCATTAGTTTGTTAAACAAAACAATGGTATCATGGTTGAATTTTTTTAAATTTGACCTTACTGAAAAAAAAAAGTTAAAAAGAGGAGACAGTAGCTGTTTACTTCTTTAAAGGAAGATGCTGTAAACTTTTTTGTTACTTTAAAGGAAACATATTATTGTAACAGGTTTAATGCAAAATCAAATGCTACCTTTTATTTGGTTTTCATGAAATAAAATTGCCAATACAGCAAAAACAGGTCAAAAGGCATCCACATAAAAAAGAAAGAAAAATATCTGTTAAAATACAGTAAAGTATAGTAAAAGTTTACATGAGTTATTCAAAGTTATTAACAAGGCAGCTGCTTTGTAGAATGACAAAAAAGTTTCAATGAGAAACAAGACTTTTCTGAAGTAAAGGCCAATTCTTTTGAGTTTTGAATGCAGATAGCAGCAGCTGTACATAGACTGAAGTGGATATTGTAAGTGGTTTTTGACAGACAATGCAATAAATGTTGCATGCACAAGAGAGCTGGATTTTTAAAAGGGCAGCATAATTTGAGTAAGAGAAGCATTATTGTAACAGACGTTGCTTGGATAGTGTTGGGCTTTGGGGAGGGTGCTGGAGAGATGCAGCGATGCACCTGAACGGGTCAAGGCTGCTTTCAACACACTGGCTTTCTGGTATGCAGTACATCAGGGTGGACAGTTGTCAAAATGATTCACTGGTGCAAACTGTCTTTATGGATACTCATTATTCAACTCTTTACTTTGTACACTCTCTATGATCAATGAGGCCCTTAGGTTATTAATAAAGAGGTTAATATTTTCCATTAAAACCTGGATAGTGGCCTTCAAAGCCCCCCAAAAGTCATTCTTCCATCTGTTGACACAACATAAACAGGTTCCACTGAGGAACATACCCATGTGGTTTCAGAGCATTTATGATTGCAGCAGCAATTTTGCAAACCCCTGCAATTTGCATGTATCGAGTAGCTTGCATTAAAAAGCACCATTTTTTTTTGCACTTACATTCTGATGTTGCTGTCAAAAAAGCAACGGTTGCGCAGAAGCCCCGCCCACAGCTGCACACCAACAATCCCGAAGATGAAAAACACGAAGAAACAAAGCAGCAAGACATTTCCCAGCATCGGTAAAGTATCCAACAGCAACGTCACCAGGATTCGCATACCTACGAGACAGAGATACATGATGTGACGAATGTGCATTTAAAAAACACGTGCAATGAAGCGTCAAAGCCATCGAGGATCACTAGACACGTTTACAGACGAGACTGTGGTGTTAAATTTAACTTTGATAACTCTGATCTGACATTCACACACTTCATGAACACATTCTCTCAGTGTCTGATATGTATTCAGTAATTGAGCCAAGAAATGAACACACACACACAAACAGAAACAGGGCTTTGGCTAACGCTCGGTGGTTTGAGAATAATCGAATTGGAAACTTAACAGCCATGGGCTCTCACTCCTCACTGAGTCCAAAATCTATTACTGCTTTGCTGAACACACACACACGCACACACACACACACACACACACGCAAACTTATTTGGTATGTGTTGACAAAAAGAGTGAGCTATAAATGGTAAGAGTATCCGTGCATGTCAAGAATTTACTGTCTCAGTCTACATTAAACAAAACAGACACTTACTTTCACTGCTGGACTCCATCCATGACTGTAACATACACCAGCACCTCTCTGAGGACTAATAGCATGTGTGTGTGAGTGTTTGTGTATTTTTTGTGGTCCATCAACTATATGATGTTGGATTGTGGGCACTTAACTGCAACAATCAGCGTCAGTGACCATGTTAATACATCACGGGAGTCTTGTCTGTGCGTGTGTGAATCTATAAATACAGCAGGCATGTCTTTTTTTTTTCAGACCAACTCCAGATCATTTGCTTCAAATCAATAGCTGGGTTGTAAAACAGTGACACTAAGAGAGAAACGAAAAAAGATATACAGATGGAAACAAAGAAAGGGAAAACAGTACTCACTGGGAACTCTGTTGATGGCTCGTAATGGTCTGAGAACCCGTACGGTTCTGATGGCTGAGAAACTAACGTTATGACCGTCTAAAGAATACTCCAACATCCTAAAACATAAACAAAAGAAATTCACTTTAACAAACTTGAAACACAATAAGGCAATACATAGAATAATAACGTAGAATAATAACATAATATATATTTTTTATAATGACATTCAATACATAATAATATAATATAATATAATATAATATAATTTTCAACCATTTGATGGCATTCAATGTACACAATTTATAGTATATTATTAAAAATCATATTCATAAAAAATGAACAGTCAGACCATTAATATTCTGATATTTTAATTAAGATGTGAAATCAATTTAATTTATATGTAAGACTATACACATTTAATTTATTCCTTGATGCAAAGTTGAATTTTCAGCATCATTACTCCAGCCCTCAGTGTCATATGATACTTCAGAAATCATCCTAATATGCCGATTTGCTGCTCAAGAAACATTTCTTCTTATTATTAAATTTTTAAAACAGTTGTGCAGTTTAATATTTTTGTAAACTGTGATACTTTTTTTCAGGATGTTTTGATGAATCGAAAGTTCAAAAGCATAAAACACTGGACAGTTTAAATTGTTTCACACATGAATTTTCACAATTTAATGTTTCACAATCAAACATCATGTTTTCTACACAGAGACCGCATTAAAATATCTATTTCTTACTGCTCTCGAACTCACAAGCTGTGCGACAAGATCCCTAAATGACACAACACAGCAGCATGAGAATATTTAAAGTCACTACATTGATTTAGAATAATTATATGTTCTCCCCACTGAAAAGGGAAAAGTGGATGTCTATGCTATTTGTGACCCTGGACCACAAAACCAGTCATAAGTGTCAATTTTTCAAAATTAGATTTGTACATCATCTGAAATCTGAATCAATAATATTTCCATTGATGTATGGTTTGTTAGGATATGACAATATTTGGCCGAGATACAACTATTTGAAAATCTGGAATCTGAGGGTGCAAAAAAATTCAAAATATTGAGAAAATCGCCTTTAAAGTTGCATATTACTAATCAAAAATTAAGTTATATCTGGAATCTGAGGGTGCAAAAAAATCAAGATATTGAGAAAATCGCCTTTAAAGTTCTTAGCAATGCATATTACTAATCAAAAATACATTTTTTATATATTTACAGTAGGAACATGGAACATGATCTTTACTTAATATCCTAATGATTTTTGGCATAAAAGAATAATCTATAATTTTGACCCATACAATGTATTTTTTGGCTATTGCTACAAATATCCCCCAGCGACTTAAGACTGGTTTTGTGGTCCAGGGTCACATTTATAATAGTTAGTGTTGGTTTAGTGCTGTTTTAGCCATACTTTTCACCTGACTGATAGGAAGACTAAGGAAAACTATTTGGTTAAGAAGTTTAGAAGCCTAATGGAAACACCAGTACACCAGAAATGTGTTACCTTTGTCTGAATTAATGACCAACGTGCTACTTCCTCACTCACACACGAGCACATTACCGTTTTAATGAGTGATCATCAGGCACTTGAACTGATTTTTTGGACAGAGAGGAAAACTACAAATCACTGTGTCAGTGACAGCGCAAATGACAAGAGAGACACGATTCAGACAGACACAGAGACAATTGCCTGGTGGTAATTGTCATTCATGAGCTTAGCTGTGACAAATCGACTTGACATTAGAACTTGACCTGACATTAAAACTGGATTTGACATTAAACAAACACACACACACACACACTGTAATAGTTAAGAGTTTAATGACTCGTCAAATTCTAGGAATCGCACACTAATAGTTGACTGATTTGTCACTCACCCAGCCATGACGATAAAGAGGTCAAGGCGGTTCCAGGTGTCGCCAAGGTAACATTTCGGACCAAATATGCCCAAGGCCAACATTTTAACCACCATCTCCACAGCAAAGAATGCAAAGATAAAATCATCAAAGGCCTGTGGAGAGAAGAACCACACATCGCTCATGAATACATTACATTAAGAAAAGTGAAACAGCTGTCATTTCATTTAAAGTGCATTTTAATACTGGTCTAATTAAAAAAGTTTCCTCTTTAAACCTGATTTGTTAAATTAGTCTAAAAGCAAAAAATATTTCCTGCAGAAAAAATGAAAGAAATAGAATCGTAATATCAAATATCAAAATATCATTTTGGCAGATGTTGTTCAGGTCTGGGTAGTAACTGATTACATGTAGTCTGGATTACATAATCAGATTCCAAATATTAAGTAATGTTAAGGTTAATGGTCACATTGACATGTGGGTAAACAAGTAAAATATTTCTATTTTTGGTGTTCAAGTCTTTACATTTTTGTTTATTTTACATTTTATGATTTAATTAATTATTCGATTTTTATCGACTCACAAACCCACTGCAGTTCTTACATTAAGCATAGTTTGGGAAACCCTGGAATAATGTAATATTTAATGCATTTTATGATGTTAATATAAAAAATTGAATATATTTTCTTTCTCTTACTTGTTTTTATATGAATATGCTTAATGGTAAATTAGATGAAAAATAATCTAAAAGTAATCTAAAAAGCAGTGGGACTACATTAACTAAAACGAGTAACCTAAATTATGTTACTAACTACAGTTAGTAATCAGTAATGGATGACAATTTGTAAGTAATCTATCCAGCACTGCCAGCAAGCTTTAAGGACTACTTTTTTTTTACACAATAGAAAATATGATACATATTTTAAAAAGACTTCACAATAAACATTTTTCAAAGTTGTCTTTATTTGTATTAAGTAAACTAAATTAAACATTGACTCACAAATGTTTGCTGAATGGCAGAGGCAGGCTAAACACATAATAAATACGTTATTATGATAAAAATGTGACTTGTTCATGTTTAATTTTATTTATTTATTATTATTATTATTTAGCTTTTTTTCGCCAGAGCACCTGAGTCTTCTCCTCCCATTTCTACCAATGATGCTTGACTCAACTTCCCACGTCTACTACCTGCGCAGATATCAACAGTGCAACGGGGTTGTAGGTTGCCAGGTTGAGGTCACAAATGGTTGAAATTTGTATGATGTGTCTATTGCTTGAGTAGGATGCGTTTCATACAAGATCTGGCAACTGGACAAACTTAGAATAATATATTGATGTGATTGTTCATACAATGAGGTTTGGGCCATACAAATTATGGGAGTTTCCCAGGAGAAAAATAACAAAATGAGAGGGCGGCGGGATATGAGTGTGAAATAATCAAAGACTCCTGGGAAAAACGGGAGTGTTGACAGCTATGCTTTAATGTTCTACTATGTTAGCATTTAGAACAGTAAATGCATGAAAATGCTTCATGTCACATAAAGTGGCCAAAAAAATATTTGGAGACTTCTGGACACCTAAAATTGTCTTAATTTTACAACAAAATATCCCTGCAAGTGGCATATGCAAATAAATGATCTAACTTCACTTTTCTAAACCATTTTTTTTATCATTTGCTTTCGACTAACTTTACCCAGGGTGATTATTAGCTGGTGTTTGAAGTCGGTTTCCCTCAAGTTCACACAGCTGTTCTAACAGAGTACCCACAGGTTTCGTCGCCTAATTGATCTCATTTAAAGCAGCACTTGTGTACAAGATTCACAGACTTCAACAATAAATTTCAAGACAATCTCTGTCGGACTTCAAATTGCCTGTTGTGAGCAATGTTCCCGTCATTATGCAGATCCACAGGTTATTTGCAAGTTGTTTTGGAGAGATTACAGATACATATTTTTCGGAGTCTGTCGCTGATGCTTCACGGTGTTGCTTGTGGGTTTTGGCATTTGGCATTTGGGAAGCACATAAACGCTTTCACGCTGCTCTGTATTGAAGTTTTTCTTGATAGGATTTTGAAAGATTTGTACAATAAATTGTTACAGTTATTTTACTCTACATCATAAAATACATCTGTAATACCCCCTTGTGATTTTTTTGAAGCTTTTCTTGAAAAAGTCGCGACAGAGGTTGCCGGGGACATTAAACATCACGCCGAACAGGTAAACTCATCTACTCACTAGTAGAGCTGTCAAAATGGCTGAAAAACTACATTCGACATTTTTTATTTAAAAACATGAGATGCAATGGGATGGGGAAAAAAACCCCGCCATAAAGTCTCGATATATATATTTTTTTCAAAGTTAAACTTGCATTAATTTTACATGGCTTTCTAAACATGCGGCTCTCTTGTGCGAGACACGAGTGCAACGGTGATAGATGTCCCTCTAGAAAATGCGCTAAATAATGTGTTCTGTGTGAACGGCTTGGTTTCAGTTTTGATGTAAACAAGATCTTCTCCGCATTGATGTTCTCTTTTTCCGCAATATTTTTAATGAACAACGCAGCAGCACCGCATATAGTGGCTTCAACTGGATATGCTAACAAAAACATTATAATGCAACGACACTTAAATCGTCATCGCATCTCGTGCGCCGCTGATAAGGCTGCCTCCTTAACGCACACCTAAAATTCGAATGCAACGTTTTTGCATTCGAATGTGGATTTTTATTTTAAATTCGACAAATATTCGAAATTCGAATTTGTTTTGACAGCCCTACTCACTAGTCTGCTTTTAGAGACTCATTGTGTTTATAATCATGCTCTTGCAAACTGTTCCAAAATGTTTTAAATAAAGACTGAAAGTGTTGTTGGTGAAGTCATGTGACCGTGCGTAGTTCATTTATAGTCTACATTTAACTTGTTACTTCTGACGATTGTATTTAGCCTTCAAAATTCATAAAAGTTGTGTTTATTTGTGAAGATTATCAAGAACAAGATGCAAAGAATCAAAAACGTTTGTTGTTCACAAAGCTAATTTTAGCAAAAATCTAAAAGCCAATGGAAAAATCCTATTGGGTTTGTGTCAAGCGAACCAGGATGATATGGAAGCTTGTTTCTGCCACAGGATAAAAAAACAAAACAAAAAGAAAAATGTTTTAGACTTTTTTTCAGAATTGAGAGATAAAAAGTCATAATTACCTTTTTATCCTGTGGCAGAAACAAGCTCACATAGAGTAATGCTAACTTCTGGGTTGGCCTACAAAAATATGCCATCACTGCACTTGCTTGATATGTGCATTTCTGCAAATACCACTTAGTTTGATATTTTGTTTTATGTAATCCAATGAGACATTTTAAATGTGGCTTAAATGTCTAACTCTTCAGGCTGCTGTTTGCATTTATTATATGCTTGTGTCTTTGAATGCTTTTTTCCCCAACCAGTCAATCAAAACAGCAGGCAGAATCAAGGCCTCACAGAGATGAAAGTCTTTAGGTAATCAATCCACGTGTGTCTGTGTTATGTAAGTGTGTGTTACCTGCAGGATGCTGCACCTGTCAGAGTGGCACTCCAGGTCTTGGCAGGGCTGGAACATGCCGAGCGTGACGCAGTTGAGCAGAATCACCAGCATGCTGACTCGCTCAAACCACGTAGAGCTCCAGTTAAGGTTAATACAGCTCACAAGGAAATCTTTCACATTTCACTTATTTGTTTTCAGCGTCAGAACTAGAGTCAGGAGATTTTATTTGTCTGTTTCTGCAAACTATGAAAAAACTGACTACACAAATTGTAAAATCTTTCTTAAGTAATGAAAATAATTGACTATTACATTTTTTGTATAGTGCCAACAATGAAGAAACAGAAAAGTGGCTTTAAACAAAACCTGTTTATTTCTGTCTGTCCTGTATTATGTTTTCATTTTCATTTTTCATTTACTCTTGAGTAAAATGGAGTGTCTTAATACATTTTAGCGGTTCAAAGCAAAAAATAAAATGCACTACTGTTCAAAAGTTTGGGGTCAGTAATTTAATTTAATTTAATTTAATTTAATTTTACAATGAAGCGTCTCATGCTCTCCAAGGCTGCATTTATTTGCTGAAAAAATACAGCAAAGATTATATTAAAAATGAAACATGTATTTTAATATATACACATACCTGCCGCTGTAAAGGCAAACTCGGCCCCGCAGGCCCCGTGATCAGACCAACCGCTTTACCTCATTAATCATAAACCTGCCACAGAAACACACTGTTCACACCATCTCAATCACCACCGTAAATCCTGCAATTATCCTCATTTACATCAGGATACACCACACCTCACTTACAACCCAATTAGGATTTAAAAAGCTTCTATAAACCCTAAAGACTATATCCATCTGAGTCTCAGAGCAGCTTTAACAGACGAGAGGGACGTGTTCAGGCCCCTGCTGTTTCCTCAGGTCTCTGTCTAACCAAAACCCTTCTGGAATTCCAGCAGACTTCCCTCTCGCTAGAACTGGGACAGCGTTCCCCTCATCAAACATTTATCCAGAGCCCACACTAATGCATACAGACAACTCCAGCTCTCGTCTCTCATCCTCAAGATTGCTGTGGTCACATTCATGCCACTTCGGCTGAGGATAATGATGATGGTGATAGAGAACAGAAATGGGATGAATAAGGTGATGGAAATCTTTACAAATGCAAAAGCAGTACTGCCATCACTTCATATGCACACGCACAAACCAGTGTTGGCGAGTAAACTTCATGATGTTCTTTCTTCTACGGAACACAAAAGAAGATATTTTGAAACATGGCTCTCTTTTTTTTGGCCATACTATGAAAGTAAGTGGGGTCCAATAGGGTTTTGAAACAGGTTTTCATTATGTAGTTTAAAAGATTTATTTTGTGTTCTGCAGAAGACCACATTTTCATTGTTGGGCGAACTATCCTTACTTTAATTTATGTGTATCTTGTAGCACAGCAAACTACCGTTTCAAATATCTTTCCCCAATACTGCAGTGTTGTTTTCCCTTTCTCTACTTGAAATAAAGCTGAAATAAAAGATGAATATATAAAATATAAAATTAAACATAAATATAAAATAAAAAAATCAGAAATGTCAGAAGAAAATGTAACATGTTGCACTGGCAAATAATTGAAACTAATTAGGTAAAGCTGAAGTACTAAAAATACTAAAACTGAAATGAAACAAAAGCTAGATAGAAATATTTATAAAATAAATAAAAATGATAAAAGCACATAGCAAAATTACAAAAACTTAAACTGAAAAAAAAAAGAAAAAAAATCCTCAAACTGAAAATATTAATAAATACTATAAAAATAATACTTAAGACAAGACTTGAAAGTTTTTTCAGGCAATGGTAAATTCTAGTGGTGTAACGATTCACTCATGGTGCAGTACGATTCACAATAATCAGATTTTATCACTATTTTTTTTTTTTTTTTACAAAATGAGATATAAGACAAAAATAAAAGGTGTCCTATTATTCCTCAGACAAAATGCTGCACATTTCTTTGTAAAATTGAAATATGTTAAATAACAAAACTAAACAAAATTTTTCATATTCTGAAGATTTTGTTCGTATAACAGTCACCTGATTTATTTAACTTTTATTCGTAAAAATATGGTGAGTTTTTTTCCGACTGTTGACAATATTTTCTTATTTATAGATAGATAAAGAGAGATACTGCATAAAAATTTTTTGAACCTGACTTTTTTTTTTTTCGCAAAATGTATGCAACATGGTGCACATTTAATTAGATAATGCCTCATTTGCATATTTCAGAAAACTCGTAATATTGTCTTAATGTACTGTAATTAATCAACTGGGGAAGTATGGCGACATCTATTATTTAAAAATGTCACCCTACAGTATACACTCTTAAAAATAAAGGTTCTTTATTGGCATCAATGGTTCCATGAAGAACCTTGAACATCCATGGAACCTTTTGATACGCAGAAAAGGTTCTTTATAGTCAAAAAAGGTTCTTTAGATTTTTTAAATGTTCTTCAAAATGGTTCTTTTAACTGTTCACTGAAAGGTTCTTTGGGGAACCAGAAATGGTTCTTCTATGGCATCACTGCAAAAACAATCTTTTGGAACCTTTATTTTTAAGAGTGTATTCACCTGTAGTGTCTTGCCTTAAATAACACTGACACAATATAAACGCAGAGATATGCTTTAGCCTCAAAATGCCAAATGAAAGCCTGGAGTACTCTGTCATAACGCATTTAAAAATTAGCAACTCACCCTCGCATCAAATTAGTGGAATTCAAAGTCATGTACTCCTCGACTTCTTCATAAAATAGTGCAGAATGCATCAGGTTGAAAACACAGATATGAGATTTCTTGAGATCTCCAGGGCCTAATGTGCTGGAAACACACTGATTTGGTTTCTGGCAATATGGTCATAACCCCATTCCTCCAGGGATTCTACAGCACAAACGGAAAAACTTATTTCATAGTGCACAGAATGTTTCATGCAATTGTGTCACACAATTGTTTTTAACATTGATAATAATCATAAATGTTTCTTGAGCAGCAAATCAGCATGACACTGGAGCAATGATGCTGAAAATTCAGCTTTGCATCCCAGGAATATATTACACTTTAAAATACATTAAAATACAAAAGAGTTATTTTAGACTGTAATAATATTTCACAAAATTACTGTTGTACTATTATTGAACAAATAAACTTCATAAGCATAAGTAACTTATTTTTTTAAATTAAAAACGCAGAGCCCACCATTGAATGGTACTGTATATGAATCCAGAAACAAATTTGGTATGCATCATTATTTATTGACATGTCTAAGACAGTGCATTCTGGGAAAAACTAGGACTGTGCATGTGCAGACAGTGTGTAATCGCTGCATGTGGATGGATCGTGTTTGCGCAAGCGCATGCAATGTGCTTATTTTTATCTTCTTGAGGTGCATCTGAATCCAAACATAAACAAAGCGCACATACTGTATACACACACCGCGTACGCTCATTATCCTGATTACTCCAACAAACCATAATACACAACTGTTGCTATGGTTGCTTAGTAACAGTTTGGTGGCTTCTGATGTGAAGTGAAGAAAAAGACAGCTGAAAAGCTGAGGGCTCAGTGGGTTTCATGCACTTCAAGTCAACATATTTAAAAGGTCATTTCATGCCCGGGCGATATAGGAAAACAATCTGAAAGTCCAAAATAAGAGGATACACACACACACCCACACCCACACACACACACACACACACACACAGTAGATAGATAGATAGATAGTTGACTTATCATAACAAATGATAATTTATCTGTTTAGTTATGAATTATCTGGTTAGTCGTTATGAATCTGTTTACTGTATCCATTATCAATCATATGAGTGATATTTTAATTGTTTCTATGGTATGATCATGCAGAGTTGACATGATTTGTGGTTACCGAAGCAATATAATACCATTTACGGGGGCCATTACTTGTGGTGTAATGCATCATATACAGTACACGTTCATATTCTTTGCTCAGTGTGTTTATTGGCAGAATTACAGCATCTCCTGGGAATGTAAATCTCATTTTAAGTGTTAAATCATTATAAGTGTGTGGAATTAGTTGGTGTTTAAGAGGCAGGTGAGCAAACAGGAGAAGGGATAGACACAAAGGAGAGAAAGAGAAAGAGGAAAAGAAAGATAAAGCGACTGTGATCAAGAGTCAGACAAAACAGAGACGGAAAAAAAGAGACCAATTATGGTAGTTTCCGATTCTCGTGTTACCATGGGAACCTCCCACTGGGACTTCGTGGGAAAGAGCAGTTTCACTCCCCTAGGACACGCGGAGACACACGCGCTTATGAATTGTGATAAAGCAACATGAACCTCTGAACTGCGCCTGTCATGTTGAGCTCTTAAGAAGGTTTTAGGAGAAAAAGATCAAACGCTAAAATGCATCTAAGTGAAATTCTGCTGGGAATGACATGGCGAGCAAGATTAATTACTTGACTTGAATAATTAGTACAACTAAGGAGAATTATCCGAGTCTCTTTTTAATGCCAGGTATTCATTATTTGGATTTCCAGCAATATAATGTAGGCTTCCTCTGAAATTGTTTTTTGTCACAACGACACATTTTCACAGCTCAAACGAAAGGAAAATCGTTAAGCGTTGGACATAATAAACCCCTGGTCAAGTATGCGCAATCCTTTTGAAGTATGTTTGTACTGTGCTACAGTCATTAGCTATGAAATCAACATGCATTAGAAAGAGTCGTTTATTTCTTTATTTCAGTTTGAAAGTGTGGAATTGCATGTGATGTCCTCACTGAAGGAACTTGCCGTTGCCTCATAGCTACAGAGCGTGAAAGAACAAGTGTGGACCACCCTCATTATTTATGAATTACTGCAATAGTGCCTTCCCTTTTACAGAGCTGGTGTATACTCTGATGAATTACGTTGAACTAGACTGACCTCATCCATTTGGGATAAGTTTAGGCTTATTATGACTTGAAAGGCTGGGAATCGAGAGCTTTTTTATTGCTTGACCATGCAGTGCAGTCTGATTCCCAAACTAATGATTCTTATGACTCAATGCAATCCTGTGACCACGAAGGCCAATGAACTAAAACAATAGTGCTTACACAAGGCAGGTAGCACTGTATTAATA